GTAAATAATTTCATGAGTTTCGGCACCTTTTTTCTTACAAAAAAAGCACTGCTCCTGAGCGACTGCATGTAGTGGGTGTCCTTCTAAACATTTAGTCCATGCAGGCTGCGCTGAACAAACACATTTCAGAACTGCTGCCAGTCGGGCATTTCCCAGTGCTATTCCCTGCAACTTTGGAGCAACACATATTTCCCATGATGGGGATTATGTCAGTACATTCAAATAGGTTTTTCACTGTTATGTCTGTGATGATGTGGAACATTCGCTCATTGAAGAAGACTGAAAAAGGCTGCCTGATCTAGCTGAGAGCAAATTTTTGAAGGTTTTAAGGACTATGTTGCAAACTGTCTTTTATGGAGGAAGTGGACTTCAGATGCAGGTCAGAATTGCAACATGCAACACCAGCATATTTTTAAGTAGTGGGATGAGTGTTTTGAGCTCATCCACCATCTCAAAAATCTCAAGCTGACCAAGAAGGAAATTAAGAAGGGTATCTGAAAGCGGTGCAAGGTCTCCTTTCCAAGTTCCAAGAGTTTCAGCAGCATTAACTAGCAACAATATACATGCTGAAAGCTTGGACAGATTTGCTGATCCAAAAACAATACCCCAAGGTATATCCTAAATTTTCAGTAGCTTTTGACAAGTCAGTGCTGTCTCCCATGCAATGCCAACATTTGTTGAAGCAGAACAGGAGGTGAAGAAAACAGGCAAGCGTCAGTGCACTGCACTGGAAAAGCACGTGTGTTCTGCTTCTGCGTGACTATAGTGCATAGCAAAAGACGGGGAGCATCACCAGGGAAGTTTAACATTGTTCCCAGTACCTCATTATTTAGTTCAAATGGTTATTAAATGAACTAAAATAGTTTTCTTAGGGGAAAACAGTCCTCAGATTGCAAGTCACATTTGAAAAACAGGAGTCAGTGATTCTTGTTGATTTCACATCTCAAGTCCCTCAAATCTTGTGCAAAGCTGCTCCCATGTTTTACAAATGATTTCATGGGTTCTGGACGCATGCTTCCAAACCAGAACTTGCAAAATGCAGATTTTACATTTGATAGATACTGGAGCAATCTCTGAAGGAAGGTGAAAGTCAGGAGAAAAACTGGTATAGGTTTTGGTGATCCTCAAGAAAGATGTACTATAGCTGTAAGTCAACTTATATGTCTGTTACAAAGCCAAATATTCGAAATAGTGTGAAGTGGGCTGTGATGGGGACAGACACAGTGCCATGAGGTCTGAGAATGCAATCATCAGACTGTCCTGAAGAGGAAGGATATGCTTGTTTGATCAACCCCTTGTTTGACATAGAATCAATTGACTTTACACATGCCACCGTGCAGTGCAATGGTGCAGATGCCCACCCTCTTCTGATATTTGTTTCAGCAGTTTGAAAAGCTTCGAGAAGAGGTGGTCTTACGTTTTCAAGGATGTTTGTTCCCCTTTTCATACTGTGTTTATAGGAAATTGGGTACAACTATTTGCAGTGTTCTCATAATGGTCTGCATTCTAACCAGATGTGGCTCCTCATTACCAAAGGAGAAACCAAGTTGCATTGAAACCATTGCCAAAGAAATTCCCTAGGAGTTTTACTGAAGATATTACACTTTAGGAAATAGTACTGGCAGAACAGAGGACTACCTTGTAAAAGTTCTGCTGCTGACACATTGCAAAAAATATGATGAAGTACCAAAAAAAAAAAGAAAAGTACAAGAATAAATACTTCCACCAGCACAGTTTTTGCAGCTACTACAACTTCTACTGGATACCTTTCCAATTGTAAAGGACAGCTCAAAACATACTTCTTGAACTGTTAGCTTTAATTAGCAAGTGTCAGATTCTCTTGCATACATCAGCTTTTGGATGAGGAGAGAGAACTGGTAGCTGTTTCCTTTCAGCAAAATGCTCTTGCATAGTTCCTGATATACTGATGATTATGCACAGTTGTGATACTTGCAACACTTCCTGACATAAATGCTGGAGAAATTTCACTTAACCCCCCGCCCCCTGCTGCAGTTTTGGTAAAGACTGTTTAAAGAATGTTATGTTAAAAAAAAACCTTATATTCCATTATACACTTTTCCCTTTTGTTAACATTTACTGCAAGCATCAGAGATGAGTGCAAAGCCGCACTTACCTTTTGAAAAACATGCCCTCTGTCTACAGGCCTCTAATAATCCAGTACTTTCAACTCTGTGTCTACAGCCACGTCCAAAGCAACTTCAACTTTGTTGACTTCAAAAATATAAATTATGCTTTGGGGCTACCCAGGAAGAGAGGTGTGTGCCAAGGCAACTGTTTAACATGATGACCCTCCCTGGCTAGGTCCAACAAATGAAGAAGGCATACCCCATTGTTTTCCGTAGTTTCACACACATTTCCTATAGTATAAGTGGATAACTAAATCAATTGTGACTTTGCTATGGGATCTATGACAAGCTTATAATAGCAAGTAGGGCCTTGGGACCTTCTCTGCTGTGGCGCCTAGACTCTGGAATGTACTTCCCAGAGAGGTATGTCTGGTGCCAAGTTTATATTCTTTTCGGCACCAGGCCAAAACCTTTTTATTTAAACAGCATTTTAAAATTTAACAGCTTTTAACCTTCAGTTGCTCTGTTTGTTTTGTGATTTATTTATTAGTTCTGTTCTATTATTTATTGAAATTGTTGTTTTAATTGTTTTTTTTAAATATTGTAAGCCATCCTGAGACCTTGTATAATAGGACGGCATACAAAAGCTTTTAATAAATAAGTGCTTGCCTCTCTCATTTCAGATGGGGGTGGGGCAAAGAAATTCCTCTGGTTAGCATTTTTATAGCTGAATGGGTTCAGGTAGAAGAAGTTATCATTTGCTTCTTTAAAAAAAATGTTCTGAGTTCTAAGTGTGAAACTAGCAAAATTGGAATTGCATCAAAAGATTGTCACAGGCATGTGAAAAAGAATGCCTGAGGGGCTTGTGGAATACATTCCCAGTGACATTTTTTGGTCCTCCCCTGTGGCACTTTTGTTTTGGGATGAACTTTTGTAGAATAGCTTTCACAAGGCAAAGAAAGAATGAATATGCATAAATGCTAGCTCTTCACAGGCTGGCTGAGAATCAAAGCACATCCTGTATTAAGTCAGATTAAAGTGGGGGAAAGGCCTGCTTTGGAAAGAATGGTGAAGCTGGACTGTGGTCAGAGAAACAGATTTTTGTCTGTGTCGTAATAGTTAAGGAGGGAAGAAATGCTCATGCTTATGGTTCTGGTTGCCAGACATTGTGGAGAGGGGGCAGTGAGGGAAGAAAGAGGAATGCATATGTCATTTAGGTGGCCGTTTTTATCCCTCTTTGCTCATCTTTATAACTTAAAATGTAGCATTGATTCAACTAAGTGTTTGGCCCTTCAATTCTAAATAGTACTATGTCCAAAGAGGTTCTACAGAAATAACTGATGCTTAACAGTGGCTTTGGGGCACTTTGTGTTGCACTCACGGCAGCTAACTACAGTTTTGATTACTTTCAGCTATTGTAGCTTAGGATAAACCTATAAAAATGAGATATAGAGGAATACTACCCAGTGCTGCTAGGGCCTCAAGTGCCTCCCCACATCAGTACTTGAGGCATTGAGAACCAGAAGGCTGTTCCATCATTTGGGACCTAAAGCTTCTATTCCATTCTTCAAAGTTGCCAGCAGTTCAGAATCTTAAGAAAAATATCTCAAACATAAAGATGTGTAAAACCTGCTGCTTTGTTTATGTGGAAGAAAGGCCCACTGGGTTCAACAGCAGCAATCCAATACACACTGAAATGGACACAAGACCTATTAAACACAACTGGGCTTACTTCTGAGTGAACATGGATAGGACTGCAGGCAGCATTGCTCCCAAATAAGTGTAGTTATAGAAATCATAGAATAATGCAGTTGGAAAGGGACTACCAAGCCATCAGGTCCAAGTGCCTGCGGAATGCAGAACTCAAGTTTCCCATCCAGATTCCAACCATGCCTGACCCTCCCTAGCTTCCAAAATTAAGCAGGATCAGGCACTTTAGGTTATACAGAAACATAGCCTTATCTGTCGGCAGCCTTAAAATAATGGTTCCACGAAAGCCTCATGGTTCCATTCTCCAATAATGTGCATGCCTCTAAGTCTCAAATACGATAAATGGGGGGAACTGACACGTGAAAAGCCTTTTACCCTCTGCTGTGAGAAAGACTTGCCCATGCAGTGCCTCCGCTCCTTCGAAGCTAAGAGATTTGGCCGGGCTAAGCAGGAACTGGACTGCATTTCTGGCAATTACAACATGGATCCTTGGCCATACCTTGTTTCTCCAACTTCTATGCCAGTTGCACTTGCAATTTCCAGACATGTGGCTATTCTAGTATGTGCTGTGGCCAAACAAGTGTTTGGTGACACCTAACACATTTATCATGGCTCCAGCTTTTCTGGACTTAGGACCCACTTTTTCACGTTTATGACGAGTTAATTGGTAAGTGTATGTATACGTAACACGTGTCGAAAGAGGAAAGAGTATTCTGCTCTGTATTCTTTTTCACGCCAGATAAAAACCCTATTTTCCCAGCACTTTTAACAGTCACCTGTTCTAACATTCAAACTGAACTTTTAAGCAGTTACCTGCTTAAAAGTTACCTTTCAACTTAGTTTTAATATTGCATTTTATCCTTTACTGCTGCTCTACCACTGCGTTGATTCAGATACAATCGCGATGCGGTTTTATTGTTTTATGTTATTTTCTTCCCCTCGTCTGTGTGTTTTTAACTTTTGTGACCCGCCTAGAAAGCCTCGGCGGTATAAAAATGAAATAAACACAGCGAGGTACGTTTAATAGACAGGCAGGTGCCAGAAGACGAGTTTCTCCTCCCTGCTGCCACGCAGCCGAGGCTGGACCAGCAGGCAGCCCGGCCAGGCTGGGAGAGGCGAAGGACCCGCTTCCCTGCGTGGCGCGGGCGCCGCCTCGAGGGCGGGGCGGCGGCGGGAGCTCCGAGAGCCGCTCGCGTCCCTTCTCGGTTGCCGTAGTTCGTCCAGGATGGCGGCTGCCGGTGACGTGCCGGTCCGGGTTTGCAATCAAGAGATTGTTAAATTTGATCTGGAGATCAAAGCGGCGGTGCAGGTACGATCTTGCTTCGCGTCCCGGTTAATGAACCGGGCGAACGCCGTGCGCTTGCCTTTTACTCCCCACGTCGTTTCCGCCCTTCCTTAGCATGCCCCCTCTGCCACTCTGGTTTTGCCAGCCTGTTCTCAGCCAAACTGTGAAGGGTCTTGTGGCCTCTGAATGGGGAACGGACTGCGTCAGACAGAAGTGGGCTCTGGCCCGCGGAGGCTTCTGCTACACAAAGGGCGTGATCTTGCCCCCAGATGTGTTTTCCTGAGTCATTCCTGAAGACACTGTCGTTCCTTCTCTGGTAGATTAGAAGCCTCCTCCTCGAGAAGTAGTTTTTCCCACACTTTCAGCTGTAGGGCTGCCAGTCCTAGACCTGGACGGGTGCCCTTGCTCTTGAAAGGATCCTGTAAATGCAGCTTCTCTCATAATTACTCCAGCACGATAAGGAAAGCTGCACCGCTTTGAAATTCTCTTTTTGTGCCATTGGTAAAGATAACAGATCCCTGATGTGTCTCTGATGGTGAAGGATTCTCCTGGAACGCAGCTGTGTGAGAAGATTGTCTACAGATCATCAGAGTAGTTAAGAGATAGCAGTCTTTGAGACTTACTCAAGCTACTGCTTTAGCCATGGTTCTTTCTTGAGCACTGGTTCTTGTCTGTTCCTGTGGTTAGCAGGCTAGAAGATGATGTTGCCATGGTAGCCTTCCGGTATAATCAATTACTTATTCATTTAAAAAATATTTCTACTATCACAGTACACACTTGGCATGACTGCAATTTTCTGGGTGGCTTGGCAACTGCATGAGTTGTTTATATAGATATGTACAGCAGTTTAATTTGTATATGCTTCATTGTGGCATGGTCTCTGCTCCCACGTTTTTCTTTCTGAGTTCAGTTTTTTCCCCTAGAGTGTCAGGTTTCCCTGGTTTCCAAAGCAGAGGGAACCACTTCTTATGCTACATACAGAGAAGGTGGTCCCACACAGGAGTTGGACATAACAATGATAGAAGTCTTCTCCTAAACCAGGAGTGTCCAACCTGCAGCCCAGGATGGCTGTGAATAAGCCCAACACAGAATCGTAACCTGTTTCAAACATAATGAGATTGATTTTATTTTTTTTGGTAACTTGATTGTGTGGTTCTCGAGTGTGAACTTTGTAGACGACAACGTCATGTTGTAATGTCACATAAAAAACATACATATGGTCTCACTATTTGTATGCATGTGTGGCTGCAGTTTTACGGCAGTGTGTGGCTTCCATTTGTGAGCAACTATTTTCAAGAATGAAGTACACTAAGAGTAAAATTAGAACCAAAATATATGATGAGCACCTTGAGAACTCCCTGAGAATTGCAGCTACTTCCAGCTAACCAGATACTGATGCATTAATTTCTCAAATATAATGCCAAATATCCTTTTAGTTTTATGATGCCCTCTTTTCTTTTACTTTTACAATAAAAATATCAAAAAACAATGAAGTTTTATTACTTAGATATCTTCTTTTTCTGTATTAGGGATTGCAAACTTGGGATCTACTTGATGATGTACCCAAATGGGGTACACATATTTTTATTCCTATTACTTTAACATATTTTAAGATTATATTATTTTTTAAATGTCCTACTGGTGTAGTAGCTACTCCCTTTGAAAGCTTTGCATGAACATAAGAAAAGCCAAGCTGGATCAGACCAGCAGCCCATCTAATCCAGCATTCTGTTCACACAGCAGCCAACTAACTTCCCACAGGATACCTACAAATGGGACATGTGGTACAGTGGTACCCTCCCTCGTGTACCTAGACAGGCCACCTGTGATATTGGAGACAGTATATGGCCATCAGGATGTATAGCTAGTGATAGCCTTTATTCCATGGATTTCTCTGAACCCATTTTCTGAAAGTGAATTCCATAGTGTAACTGTGCTGTGTGCAGACGTTCATTCTTTTATCTGTCTTGAATCTCCCACCAATCAGCTTCATGGGATAAACCCAGGTAATAGGGAAGGTTGTAAGAGAGGGAGAAAAATGGCTGTACTTGCTCCCCATAAGCATTTTGAAGATCAAGCTGGCAATACATGTGATCTAAGAGAAAATGAGTGCAACAAAGTATTGTACATTGCTTGTTTATTTCTTTTAGGATATCCGGGATTGTTTGGGGCCTTTAAGTGTGCTTACAGAACTGAATGCCAAAGTAAAGGAAAAATTTCAGCATTTACGGCTTAGAATACAGGTGAGGAATATTACACCGTCCTTGTGTAAATCAGCTTTGTAAATAAGTGCACAGAAGTTTCTACAAGCCTGCTGGGGCTGGCAGAGAAGGGATAAAGCACTCCAGCTCTCCTGCAGGGGCTGCTGCATGTCTCTGTTATATGAGGAGGATGTTTTCCTTCTCAGGCAACTGACTTGTTTTCTCTGTTGAGTGCAGAGGAGGGACAGAGTCCTCTCTCTCTCCTGTACTTGCTCGCTTAATCACCTCTATGCAGTTCTCTGTTGCCTGTATCTACAAGGCTAACATTTAAATACAAGACTGGTATAAATAAGGGCTTCAGAGGTTTGTGATATTTCTGAAGAGAGACCTGATTTGTATACATTGACTATACTGAAGGAAGCAGAACATGCCAGTTGGATTCCACCAAAATACCTCTCAAAGGAATTAACAATTGCATAGTCTTACAAATGCCACTTTCACTTTCATATATATTTTATATAGTCAAAAAGACTTCTTCAGATGTGTATGCTGCTTAATTTAATTTAATCCTCTGCTAGTAAACTTAGATCATAAGAGCACCAATGGGTGCCTGGTTTCCGATAATAATTCTGTATTTGTATTAGAGTTGTTTCCTTGGGAAGGATGGCTGTGACCTTTTGCTGCATCTGTATTTACTGATCTTCTTAGACCTACTGTGAAGCTCTAAGCTGTCTCACACACATGCACACAAGAACCATTACATGATGAAGTTGACTGCACAGACTTAAGGACTCCACAGTCCACTTTTCCTTTGTGCTCCAAGCTCCACCAAACAAACAACAGCAGACACCCTGCTCAGAGAGCCAGGCAACAAGATAATACAAGACCCAAGCAGTGATACCTATTCTCTAGGGCTAGGCAGACAGGGTTATAAGGACAACCCACGGCTCTTGACCTGGCTATAAAGTTGTGACTGAGTAGAAATAGGACAGGCTATGCAATAAAGCTCAGTGCTGTATTATAAACCCTCTTCTTTTATGCATTAGTGGTTTAGAAAGAGGTTACATCTGGTTAGGGTGGGGAATTATACCCACCTTTCTCATACTTTATGTTTACTCACCAGCTGGAAGCAAGTTAATGAGAGTTTTAGCAGGACAGAAAATGTTGGGGTGTGCAGGTTGTTTAAAAGGTAATAAAGAATAAATCATTTTTACAATGGTTATACACAACTACTCAGAAGTCTAATGTTATACATGTCTACTGTTATACATGTCTACTCAGAAGTCAGTCATGTTGAATTCAGTGGGGCTTATTTCCAGCTCAATAGGTGTTGGATTGCAGTCTGCTTGTTATGTGCCTGTTTTTTATGCAAAAATTAATGGTTAAAAATAACGTGTGTCTGATATTTATGGATCTGTTAGGAACTTGAACAGATGGCCAAGGAACAAGATAAAGAATCAGAAAAGCAAATTTTGCTTCAAGAAGTAGAGAACCATAAGAAGCAAATGCTCAGGTCAGTAAAACTGTAAGCATTGTGTTTTGAATAGAAGCTTTTTTTCCCTGGAAGCCATTCATAATGCAAGACAAACAGCTTTGTCCAAACAGAATAAGCCCCCTAGAAGAGAGTGTATTATAGAAGCTACTGTCAAATCAAGCTGATATTCTGTTGTTCCACCCATAGCCTCTGCTCCCCTTCACATTGGGATAATTGCTGTGATCATAAATAGAATCCATTTTATCTGTTATTCTCAGTCTACTGGGTCACATTTCTTATTTGTGGCAGCCAAGACCAAAGAGCTGGTACTTTTCTGAGCCCAGGAAATGCTGTTGCCACCCCTCCATATAAGAATGGATGGATTTTATGTTTTGACTCTTTTTTTCCTACAGACAATTCTAGATACTTCTCAAAGAAAAGTTGTATGATGGTTGTCACTTAAATAAAGATCATAGACCTAATTATGCACTAGCTATGAAGAACTTTAAAAACAGCTGATGTATACAATTGTGTAATTGCACCTGCAGCACCAGTGAATGTGAGAAAGCATTATATGACCAGCTATACTTTGGCATGATTATTGTTTCTTCTGTCTATTCAATGAACACTTTTTTTTTACTTTAAATCTAAAAGTAAACATTTGCATAGGCCTTTCTATAAACAAGATGTGGAACAATTATTACATGCTCTTTTCAGTGTAAGAGATGTGTGCTTAAAATTTCTCCCATAGCAGTAAATGAGATTGCTTGACATTAGCTGGCTTGTGGCCTGTTTGTTTATTGGGGTGGTGGTGGTGGGGATTTCTAGCACATAATATTCCCAAAATAGCATTTTCACAAACTAATAAAGGTTAAAATAGAGCCCTGTGAAATCGGACGATTGGGGAATTGGAAGGGCTGGTGAGTAAGCAACTAGAGCAATCAAGTTACAGCAGCTTTATGTCTACAGTCCCCATGTAATTTAACTGTGGGGCTCCCTTCCCCCGTCATCTCTGCTCCCACACTGTTGAGGCCAAAGCACAGCCTGTTGTCTGTGAGAATCTGTAGAGTGGATTGACAACACAGACTCTAGAACTCACTACTCAGATGTGAACCCCAAACGTTCCGTGGGGGTTTCTGTAAGGTAACTAGGTACAGGATTACACTACATTTTCTTTCTTTTTATTGTAGAAACAGTTCTTCTGTAAAACATGCTACTACTAAAATTAGCATTGACTTACAGCTTTTTAAAGACTGCTGACCTGTTGATTGGAAGTATAATTCCAGAGCTCTGAGAGTCCCTAGCAATTCTGCAGAGGATGAGATGAACTGTGATTCATTTCTTTTCATGCTTTTTTATTGCTAAATGGATCACTAATCAAAAATGTTGTTAAGATGCTAGGATAACAGTGGAGAATATATAGGTAAGGACAATGCATAATGCAGCTGTATAGGCTAATGATTATTGTTAATTATGTCAAAGGATAACATGGTATCTCATTTGCATGCTATCAGTTATCTCAGTTGTGTTGTATGTAATACAAGCAAATATATTTGTTTTTGTTGTGGTGGTCACCATTGCCCTAAATTTCAGTTTATTAATAATTTCAGCAATCAGACAGCCTGGAGGAAGGCGAACTTAGCTTGTAAAATTGCTATTGACAATGCTGAGAAAGATGAACTGCTGCGAGGAGGAGATCCTTTACGACAAAGGTACACAATAATTCTTTGGCAGGATCTAGTCAGCTGACGTTGAAATGAGCATTCCCAAACCCTTTCTGACTAGTTCGCCTTCTGAAGTTCTATGGGCCATCATAGGGATGCAGGTGGTTTAAACTGCTGTGCTGCTGGGCTGGTTGATTGAAAGGTCACCGGTTCGAATATGCACAACGGGGTGAGCTCCCATACTCTGTCTCAGCTCCTGCCAACCTTGCAGTTCGAAAGCATGCAAATGCAAGTAGATAGAGAGGTACCACTTTGGTGGGAAGGTAACAGCGTTGCGTGCACTTCGGTGTTTAGTCATGCCGGCCACATGACCACGGAGACTGTCTGCGGACAAACGCTGGCTCCCTCAGCTAGGAAACAGAGATGAGCACTGCCCCCTAGAGTCAGTCATGACTTAACGTCAAGGGGAAACCTTTGCCTTTATGGGCCATCATAATTTACACGGCTTCTTTTACATTCAGAAAAGCCATTCACACATAATAGTGGTGAATTCCATGATATGCTGTACATGTGCATCTATCTGTTTAAATATATAACCTCCAATTGACCTGATTGTAGGTTGCTCCAGGGCATGTGAGCCCCAGAACTGTGGCTGATTTGTGGATTTAGTAATCCAAAGTTAAGCTAAGACCAATTGGAGATTGTATATTCAAAACAGCAGTGGCATGCAACCTTGAAAATCCGGGGTTGATTAATATGCAATGTTATTTATTTATTTATTTATTAAGTAAAGCATTTTTATGCCGCCCCATTCGCTGAAGCCTCGGGGCGGCTTACAACAATGTTATGTAATTATGTGGGAACCAGGTCAATCATTTGGATTATTATTGTTATTCATTTCAGTCCTATATGGATCCTCCTCTGTGCTCCATTCTCATTTGTGGACAGCTTTGAGATGCTGTTGATGAGTTAAGAAGGTCAAGTCTGTCTGTCCTTCCTTCCTCCATTCTCCCAGCCCTTGCCCTCTATTCTCACTCCCTGATTTCTTTGTATCCTCACATGGATTATCCAGGCCATTTTGGGAAGTGTATCTAGTAGAAGTTACTTTACTAGCTATGAAGTTTACATTTTTGGGACTCTGGTCAGCACAATCCCACATATGTCTTTTCAAAAGTAAGACCCACTGAGTTAATGGGTCTGCTGTCAGGCAAGCTGGTGTAAGATTACAGCATCAGGAATGCTATTTTAGCTGCTCTGCAGATTACGTTATGACCAGTTTACAATATATTCTTGAATGCTACATTTTTTTATGTATAGTGATAAGGACAGGAGGTGTTCAGGTTCTTCCTAGTTTGGGTATTAATTTTCAACTGGAAGATACTAAAAAAGTTTTAGGGTACAAATCAGGCTGTGATTTACATGGCAGAGCAAAAATGGGACCTTGGTAATTAAACATTAAACTGAGCTAGATGCTGTTGCAGAAACAGGTTCTTCATCATGGTGTCTTGTTTTTGTACTATAGTATGTTGTTTTTGTGTTATAGTATGAGTTTTTGTACTATAGTATGAGTTAGACATATTGATGAAGAATGGTCAATAGACATAAAACATTAGACATAAAATATATTGGTTATATTTTAATCGCATCCCTGCAGCCCAATGATCATTTTGAAAATGATGCTAGGATAAAAGTGTTTATATTGTTATAAATTAGCAATGTATAAATTAAATTATTTAATATATTTTTTTAAAAATTAAACCGATTAAAATTAAACATGATGTTTAAATATCAGTGGTTCCGAAAATTGGCAGAAACCTCTAATGTTATATTTAATCTTGAAATAGAGCAGAGTAAAAAAAATATCTACCATGAATGCATATTCAGATATTGCTCTGGTAGTTCCATCTCTCTACTCCTCCTGGCCTTTGAAATGCCTTGATAAAGAATCTAAATTCGTTTTCATTTCCTTTTATCTTTTAGAAAAACTACAAAGGAAAGCTTAGCAGAAGGGGCCAGTAATATCACAGAAAGCCTGATGGGTATTAGCAGGATGATGTCTCAGCAGGTCCAGCAAAACGAGGAGACCATGCAAACCCTAGGTAAGTAAGCAAGTAATCCAGAAGTAGATGAGTGGAACTCTGCTTGTGTAGTGATTGATTACAGTGGGGCTTTCCTGAATTGCATGATCTATATCCCACCTCTCCAACTACTCTTGAGGACTGAGTGATCCTCTGGGATGATGTGTGGTGGTTGCGAGTGGTGGCAGTGAGATGCAGAAATCAGGAGAATTTGGCGACACTGCCTTATGCAAGCTGAAGTGCCTTTCCTCACTCATGATTCTCTGGATCCCCCCCCCTGCCCTGCCACCCTCAGTATCTCGTGATTGAATGAATTATTGCTACTTTACTGCTAAGACCTGCAGAATCTGTCAGTTAGAGGAATGGTCTTTCAGGCATAGGCTCCAAAAGCAGAGAGAGGAAAGCCATTTGGCACAAGCAAGGGATGGTATAGGAACCTTCATATTATACCTCTTGGCTCCAGGCATCCATTGGTCTCAATTAGAACTGTATGTGCTGTGACAACATTTTGTTTTTTCCATTTACAAAAATATTGGGGGGGCAAATCCACCAGGTGTCTTTTGCCTGGGTTAAGTCTGGTTGAAATAAAAGGAGGATGCTGTGCTCAGTGTGTTTGTGGCGCACATTTTCAGAGTGCCTCATAATTGTGCTGGAATTGTCAGTGTCAGAAACCAGGAGGCCCTGAGAGCACCCAGACTTGACTGAAGTTCAGAAAGCTGTTATTTTCAAAGACTGTGCAGATGCTCAGCTGCTTAGGCTGCAGTCTCTGAGCTTTGCTCTTCTTGCACCCCTCTTGTCTTTGGGGATCTGTAATCAGACATCTTGAAAAAACATTATAGTACTGTATTGTGCTATGAATATTACAATCCTAGGATGCAATAAGGAATGTCTGGTGGCCAGAGTGTTGAGGACTCAGAAGGACTGGAGTCTAGTCCCCACTTGCCAGGAAGCTCACTGGTGGCTGTTGGCCAGTAACAAACTCTCAGCCTAGCCTACCTCACAGGGTTGTTGTTGTGAGGATGAAATGGAGCTATGCAAGCTGCCTCGGGTTCCTTATAAGAGGGGAAAGGTGGAATATAAATGCAGTGTAATAATAATACTGATACTAGGTATACATACTGATTAGAAATGCAATACATTTTGGCTCAGGGTTCACAAGTGAAGCAGTAAAAACAGCAGTAGGTACACTGTTGGTATCCACATGTAAATGACACACCGACCACAAATTATGAAGGACACACACAGTCCAACTGTGGTTCTTCACTTTAAGGTAATGCAGAAATCATGAGTGCAGGGGAAGCTGCATTCCAAAAGAAGATACGTGAACATCTAGCCCTGGCCTTTTTACTCCAGCTGCCAGCAACTCCCTCGGCTCACAGACAGAAGGCCGCTGTGCTCTGCTTCCTGAAATCCTTTTAGTTAGAGACACCATGGGCTGCAGAAAGAGCCCCTATTATGCAAGGAGTGTGCTCCACCAATGCACAAGAATCCCTAACAATAACTAGCATTCCATACATGCCTGTGCCCATGGGACATGACTGGGCAAATAAAAATCCATAATTTGGGGGAAAAAAACCCTGTTTATTTACATCAGAGTTTTTAAAAAAATAGATTGTATTTTGGTTTTGGTTTTTTAAAATCATAATTAAAATACTAAATCTCTCCCCATAAAACATGAGATAGTTACAATTGTACTTCACTAGAAACATGCTAAACCTAAACTTCGGCTGCAGTCTTATGGCGCTTAGACAGTGCCCAAGGGTAGTTTGGGTTTGGGTATAGTTTGGATTCCCAGATCCAACATACGCCTTCAGGAGTGGCAATCAGAGCTCTGAACCCTCCATCTTCCCATAGCCAGTGCGGCAGGAACCATACCATTGCTCTCTGAGGTTGGGAAAGTGACTTCCTGGGTGGGTGGGAGGGAGGAAGGATAATGGAGAGGCTAGGTTGCAAGCTATCCAGCCATTCCCCTCCCTCTTGGAGGTGTTCCAGCTAGTAAGGCAAAGTTGCCCCTGCCATTTAGGGGCATTAGGCTCTTCCCAGCATTAGGCTCTTCTCCAGGGAGTCCTTCCTTCTCATTAGGTGGCCAAAGTATTTGAGTTTCATCTTCACTATCTGACCTTCTGAAGAGCAGTCAGGGTTGATCTCCTCTAGGCCTGTCTGGTTTGATCGCCTAGCAGTCCAAGGGACTCACAGGAGTCTCCTCCAGCACCACAATTCAAAGGCCTCAATTCTTCCGTGCTCAGCCTTCCTTATGGTACAATTTTCACAGCCATACATTGCAACTGGGAAGACTATAGCCTTGACTATATGCACTTTTGTTGGCAGGGTGATGTCTCTGCTTTTTAGTATGCTGTCTAGATTTGCCATAGCTTTCCTCCCCAGGAGCAAGCGTCTTTTAATTTCTTGGCTGCAGTCCCGATCTGCAGTGATCTTGGAGCCCAGGAAAATAAAATCTGTCACTACCTCCATTTCTTCCCCATCTATTTGCCAGGAAGTGATACGACCAGATGCCATGATCTTAGTTTTCTTAATGCTGAGTTTCAAGCCAATTTTTGCTCTCTCCTCCTTCACCTACAACAAGAGGCTCTTTAGTTCCTCTTCACTTTCTGCCATTAGAGTGGTATCATCTGCATTATCTGAGGTTGTTGATATTTCTCCTGGCAATCTTAATTCCAACTTGTGATTCATCCAGTACAATTTAAACCTAAACTTAAACTTTAAACTTAAACTGCCCAGTACAATTTACAAAAATATAATGCTTTAAAAATCCCAAAGCTCAGATAAAATATAAATCCAATGTAATATTTTTTCCTGTCCAGTAACTGTCAGTTCTTCTATTGACCTATCAGTTCTGGCCATTTTGTTTTTGGACAAGGCTGGACCAAGATAGAGTGAAAGAGGAAGGAGTAACATTAGAAAGAAACAGAAAACTCTGTGTTTTGCATAGTTTCTCTCTCTCTCTCTCCCTCTCTCTCTCTCCTTGTTACTGTCTGATTTCATTATCTGTTTTTAGCTGTTTAATTTTTTTCCTGATTTTATGATTTTTATTGGACTTTCATCATCTGTTTCTGTGGACTGTGTAAACTGCCCAGAAAGCTTTGGATGGGGAGTGAAATAGAAATAAACAAATGAAAATACAAGAATTATCCAGCTTTCCTGTGCCTGCATTCCCATGTTAAGGCTGCAATCCTCTACCCACTTACCTGGAAGTAAGCCTTGCTGAACTTTGCTGGAGATGTGAATAGGACTGTATTGTTAATTTCAAGTAGTGATAGATGCAGGACAGGTAAAAAAATATAGAAAACATGTAATAAACAGTGAGGCAAAAGGGCTGTTTTCCTGTAATGGCAGTAAATTATGGGCTATTTAATTTGTGCTTTGCCTTAGCAACTTCTGGGCACATTCTGCAGCCATCTTGAATATTCAGCCCTTTTAAAAAATATTCTTTGATATTCAAGTGCTAATTGTAGGTTAATTCTAGAATTTTTAATACAATTAATTTGTAGTGTCCAGGTTCAGATGTCATCCAGCAACCTCCCGTTGGATCGATCTGGGGTTGAATGTTACAAATGGCCATGGAATGCACCCAGTAAATGCTCAGAGAGCTGAAATGAAATAAATGAAATAGATGATGATGATGATGATGATGATGATGATGATGCAAATTGTGTTTGTTAATCCATTATTTATAGCCATGGTGTATGAATTTGTTCAAAGAGATGCATTCTTACCAAGTCTGCTGGCAAAATTGAAAGTAGAATAGTAACTTCCATATGGCCTGAAGTGCCAGATCATGCCTAATCTTGCCAAGCCAAGCAAGATTGAGCCTGGTTAAAATCTGGATGGGATACTTAAATGTTGTGAAATGACCAGAGAGCTTTGGCTATGAGCAGTATAGAAATGTAATCTGATAACAATTATAGTCTATTTTACAACTAAAGATGGCTTGGTAAAAAGATTTGCACCATTCTGTGGAAAACTATGAACAGGCTTCTATAGGAAACTTGTTTAAAATGAGATTTGAATTGATGCATGTATTGCTGATTTAAATTATTGATGTAATTTGTCTTGGTTTCTGTCAGTCTCTCTGGATAAATGACGATGTATTTTGTACTCTAGTATTTGTAGCAAGTACAAAATGCCTTTTTTATGGGTCAAAGATGAACAACTTTCAGGACTTCAGTTTCCAAACCTGTCAGCCTCATTGCCATCTAGTTGAACCCCAGATCTGAAACTGAAGTCCTGAGACTAGTTTTTCTGAGATTTCCAGATGTTTACTATGATTAGCAATGTGCTGAAATACCGACTCAGCTAATTTCGCATCTTGTTCGCACTATGGACCGGTTTCATGGAAGACGGTTTTTCCACGGACCGGTTTTGGGATGATTCCAGCGCATTACATTTATTGCGCACAATATTTCTATGATTATTACATTGTAATATATAATGACATAACTATGCAACTCACCGTTACAGAAGTAGTGGGAGCCTTCCTCCAACCTGCAGCCCAGTCCTTACCTGCTTCCCAGTTCCCTTGCGGCTCACATGCGCCCTCCCCGGCTGCTCCATGGCACTTGCCGCCCAGCTCTGCTGCCACCGCCCCTGCCACCACTGCTCCCTCCTCCTCTCGAGGTCAGAAGGGCCCTGATGATAACCTGTGTTTGCAGCCGCTCCCCAGAGATGCTAGCACTGGGGAGAGGCTGCAAATACAGCTGAAGCTTCGCTCGCTCGCTCGCCCTCTGCTCAATTCCTGCTGTGTGACCCAGGGGTTGGGGACCCCTGCTTTAGGGAACCCTTCCCCATTATTTTGTCTCCTGTCAGGGAATGCTTGCACATCTGCACTGCAGAGGATTTTGAGACGGGGGGGGGGGGTGTTATCAGGTCTATGCATGGTACATGTGAAATGCCTTCCAGAGCTTGTTCGGCCAGAGAGGATGGGGATCCATCAACAACACACACAACAGTTCCCTACAGCTGTACTTCACTAGGAACATCAGCAGTACTGGGCCAGCTGGCTTTACTAATCCTCTTGTTGGGGGTCACCCACTGAGCTTTCTGGGCATCCCAAGGTTTCCCAGAACATAGTTTGGAGAGAACTGGTCTAAGGGCCATTTGGATGTACATAAAATCCACTCTAAGAAAGTAAATCCAGATTTGCTGTAATTTAAGCTGACAGAGGTTGTGTATGATTAATACTCAGCTGCCTCACTAGTATAAAAGATGGCTTGTAGATAAGTGCATCTGAAGTGTTACTAGAATATATTGGACAATGCAGGATAAGTAAAAAAAATAAAAACCTACCATGTTTTACCCAGGCTTTTGTACATCTGTATTATTAATAGCAAATCAAATGAGTCAAACTTAAATTGCCCAGTCTTAGGAGTTCTTGGGAAGGTAGCAACATATTTAAAGCATTGTCAAGTTACAAGTAATAACACAGAAAATGCAAAGTGTTAATTCCACCCCCTTTCACTGCTGTCACAAATCTAGTGCAAATCCAGTCCCAGAGCTGTTCCAAAAGGACCTCAGCTTTGCCTAGAAAGCTAGAACTTGGCTTGAGGTTTTTCTGGAAACGTATATATCAAGTGCAGTGTCAAAATTGGATGTCAGCGGGTTGTTCAGAAGTCAGAAGTGGACCAGCAGAACCTTCTACCTTTGCTTCGCTGGAGAAATAGAGGTGGATTAAGTAATACAGTGTTTTCCTCCTTTCTTCTGTCTCTTCCAGACCTGGTGACTGTGTGCAACTTCTCATGATATGCTTCCTTTCCCATTAAGTGATAGTTTTGGCAGTGGATCTGTCCCCTAGCATCTGTTTGGTTGAGGTGGAGCTAGCAAAGGCCACTTGTTTTGAAAAAGCCAGCTGTATTTGATCAACTGTCAAAAGGTTACTGTTGCATGAAATGGTGGAGAAGTCATTGCAATGAGTAATACATCTGTGGGAAGTTCAGCATTGCCGCTTACCAGGAAAAACAGCTTCCATCTTTCCTGTATGATGTGGATGATGGAGCTTTCTCTGTGAATGGAAGATGAAGTAGCACAACAATGTGATTGCTTTTTATGACGTTCCATTCCAAGCAAAGGATATTTGCAAGTACAATTTGGGGACTATATAGAAATTTACCTTCACTGCCCACTTCTGAATGTTTTGATATTAGAGCATGTGTGTGCATGTTTTAAATTACCTCAAAAATCTGTAACAGAAGAATGATGCATTTCATTGGTACAGATGCCCACTTAGAAAATGTTTTGCGTGTTGCCAGAGACGGCAACTGGGGGTGGTGGTGAAAAGGCCCTGTCTGCTTGCACTGGACATCAGCCAGCTCTTATGTGGCAGGGGAAGGCTGTGTTTTTCTATTGCAAACACTGAACAGATCTTGGATCCACAAGCTAATCTTATTTCTCCAGATTTGTTTGGAAATGTGCCAGAATTGTAGCATAGTAAGCTGCACTTTCATTTGAAACTGTTTTTCACTGCTCCAAATGAATAGTGGATGAAAAACTGAAATTCGGTGTTGAATCCACTGTATTACAAAATCTCACCAAGCCTGTTAGCAAGTAACTTCAACATTGTGTACAGACAATGGTATCCTGTCGGGACCCTAAATCCACATCTGCTCCTGTTGCCAAGTATGTCTTTGCCATTGGTCCCTCCCTGCCTTAAAGACTTGGACTTTCCAATCGCCTTTTAGTCATGCTGGGCTTACTCTTACTGAAAAAGGCATAGTCATTTTGGCATCCTGCTCTTTTAATTATTTCTGTTTGTTTGCACTGTTTCATCGTTTTGTCTGTGAGCTACCATTTTTTGCTCTAAAATCATTAGTGTTGTTGTGTTATATTGGCTGAGGTGTGATTTTTAATTAGCATGACTAATTTCTCTTGCCCCTAAGCCAACTCTAACTTTTGTCTTCCAAGAATAGGACATTTCCATAAGACAGTGCAATGTAAGAGATCTTTCACTGGATAGCAAAAGTTGCCTCTGTCTGACATGCTCTGATCTTTTGTCAAATATTAATGTTCTACAGCCTACTATCTAGGCTTTGAGCCAAGTTATTTAGCATTTTGTTTTTGTTTTTTACAAGTTCCAGATAGAACACTCACTCTGTGTGTTTGTGTGTGTGTGTGTGTGTGTGTGTGTGAGAGAGAGAGAGAGAGAGTTTTCTCTAGATGTTTTGAAGCACTCTGAGGTGAAATGTACATTTTCTCTTTCAGTTAATTCTTCACGAACCATTGTGGATGCCAATGAGGAATTCAGATCCATGTCTGGGACAATACAATTGGGACGAAAACTCATAACAAAGTATAACCGCAGGGAACTGACAGATAAACTGCTCATCTTTCTTGCCCTTGCCTTGTTCTTAGCCACTGTGCTTTATATCCTAAAGAAGCGACTGTTTCCCTTTTTGTAAAAATTCCAACATGAACAGAGGAAGCATGACTATGAGGAAGACCGAATGGAACATTTATTACAAGGACCTGGCACCGGTCTAACAGAGGAGGAGAGAGAGACATCTGGAAGACAGAATTTTATACAGTATAAACAGAATATTAAGGACTGCTAAGTCTGTGGAAAAACGAAGTTTGCTTGAAGCAAGTGAAATGAGCTGCAAGTTGGAACAATAAGAAATTGGCAGAGAAAAAGATGTGAACTGTTGCTTTGAGAGAAACAGATGTCTATCTTAAACTGGATAGTCTGAGGCATCTTCAGCTTGTCTCCCATCTTTGGCCTGAAAGATGTAGTGTACTTCCTTCCTCGGAGATCAGTTCAAAGCATGCCTGAGAGAAGGGGAAGATACTATAGGAAATACATCTAGATACATTCCTTTAATAAAGTGAATTTAAACACAGATAGAGCAGGAAGTCTTACCTAATTTAAAAACATTTCCAGAAATTAGTTATACTACCTTCTGTGTTATAAATATGTTGTTTACTTTGATTATTTTCGATCATAAACAAGGAATGAGGCAAGTTCCAAAATCTCCCTCCGATTGGCATTATTAAAAGTTTATCTTTGTCCCTCCATATCTCTTGAGAGAGTAGTTCAGGTAGGTCCTTCACTTCATTCCAGTGTTTGATCTGAAAGCCAAATGTTGGTCTCTAAATAGACATGGAAGTTACATGGGATATCATGCTGAACCTTTCCCCTTTAAAGAACCCTGTGGAGGTGTTGTGTGATACTGCAAACCAGTGGCATGATCCAGCTCCTACGGGCACAGCTGAGCCATTTCAAGGCTGTGTGTTTGGAAGGAGGATGCCATGAGACGCCCCTTTTTCCTTCCCCTCTTTTGGATCTCAGTACTGGTAATATGCACAGCCATTACCTGGTCCAAAGCCATTCTTACAGAGCATGAGTAATGTCCAAAAAGAGGTCTGTTCCAGGTAATGGCTGAACATTGCTATGCACCCAAGAAAATGGATGCCCAGCTAAGGGCTGCTGCAGCAGCAATGGAGACAGAGGACAAGTATTTATAATTTGTGATGGTGTCCGTTTCACATGATGTTTGCACAGCTCTGGGTCCATGGGAAGTAATGAATTTGACTGTGCTAAAGGATTTGGGTTGACAAAATGAAAAGAACATAGAGAAACCAAAGCAAAATGTGAAATAAAATCATTGATTTCAAATGATAACTGTTCTCATTCCAAAGCATTTCCCACTATTCATCCCTACAAACAACCCAGAGCACTTTTCTTTACTAAAGCTTTTTCAGGGTTTTTCTAGTATGGCTTTGATCAAAAGATGATTATGCACTTTTTCGTAGTGGTGTTATTAATTTATTAAGAGCACATACCATGGGTTGATACGACACAGCAACTCACTGTGGGTCGTGACCCACAATAGATGCTTGTAACATGCATACTCAGCAGAAACGCATTAGGGTCTCAAAGGCAGACTTGAGAAAAGAAGTTGCAGCAGTCAGTATTCTCTGGAAGAATAATTTAGTTTTGCTTTTGAGAAGATGTATTTCCAAAGCACCAGCAAATTGGCCAGAGAATGATCTGAAGAAACATGGTATGGTTATTTTGCCAGAAACAAGCACATTTGGCTGTCTTAAAATGCCTGAATGGTCTACCACCCAGAAGCCATTGGTTAGCTGTTCAGTAAAGAACCAGGATATAATAAGTACAATAACATACACACCCACCCAGCTGCAAATTGATCCACAAATATTGTGATCCAGACTGACCTTGCCGGATGATGCCAGAAGCCTTTCTATTCCAGCATATTGTTTGGATAGCGACCAACCAGCTGCCTAAGGGAAGCACATGGGTAGAAAAATGCTGTAGCATTTTTCTGCTCCTGTGCCCCAGCATTCAGTGGCATATGGTTTCTGGATATCATCATCATGATAAGTAGCCACTGGTTCCCTCCATGTCATGATTATTGTGGCACAAAAATAGACTACCTGGCCCAGGAGCACACTCATTGGCTCTGAGTTTATTGAGTGAGGAAGGTTTACTGAGCTGCACAGCAATGCAAGCCCAATAATCTTGTTTATAGCTCATCTATCAGAAATCACCTTTGAAGCATTTACTGTAAAGGACAGTGTCTGGATATTTCCTCTCTGGGATCCAGGTGATGATGTGTATATACTTGGTGATGTTACCAAAGCATCCTCCATCAGGTAATCCCGTCACTTTTCTGGATGGATACTGCTTTCGTTGGAGGTGCTGGTCATCTCAGTGCTGCACCATTCCATAAAGATGACATAGCTTCGTCAGAGGTCTTCATTCTAGACGATCTGCAGTCTGGTACATACTGATGTGAAGTCCCAGGACGCCTTTCATAACAGTGTAGAGGGTGAGCAGCAAATGACGACAGGCCAAAATCTTTGGTGTGTGTGCTGTGTTGCAGGGTATATAGGGCAGTATCCGTTCTACACTGCATCTATAAGGGTATCCACGATAATCAATATTTAACATTACAAATTGTGCACATCAATCTTCACTTAGGAAGATATATGTAATCCTTACTACCTTTTAAACACGCATGTGTAATTGCAGTCATGGCAGTGAAAACATGCTGTGTACTGTTCCTTCTTCTCTGGATGAAGTGGAGACTGCAAAAGTGTTCGGGCACATGAGTATGAGGGCAAGGCAGAGGCAAGCATTATGCTGGACTAATTATTCTGGAGCCAGAGAGTGTGATTTGGTGCATATGCCACAAGATAGCACTGCAGTACCAACTTCTCTTTACATAGCTGAGAGAATTCTTCACAGACCACTGGCTTGTAGCAACTGAATAAGGGGAATGTAACGTATTGCCTTAATGCAAAATTTCTGCACATACACACAATTGCACAATTCAGTACCTGGTCAGCGCGCGCACACACACACACACACACACACACACACACACACACACACGCCCCTTCTGCAAAGGCACCCTGAAAAGCTGAAGTGGCACACATAAGGGGCTAGAATGTCAGGTCAGGTGTGGATGCACGAAAGCCCTTTAAAATTCCGGCTTGCCCAGGACACTCACTGCAGCAGGCCACTAGCTCAGCCTCGGGCCAGCCCGCCTTGGCTCCCCACACTGCTCTGGGCATTCCAGAGATGGATGCACATACAGCACATACATACATCATGCAGGCAATGCCTAGTGACCTCTGGGAGGTGATGCACAGATGGGGGTGGGGCCGTGTAGAGTTTGCCTTCGTAACAGATTTGCTCCTGGATGGTTCATGCAGCTCCCCACCACCCCAGAACCCCTTATGGGGAGAATGTGTGTGTGTGGCTGGAGGAACAGGTGTCCCTGTCCCCACTGCACAGCAGGGCAAAAAGCTTCCCCACCATCTGTGCAACATAATAAAGGAGACCTCCCTGATGGGCTGTGAGAATGCTGTGGACATGACCTGTCTAGACTTCAGTTAAGCTTTCAGCAAAGGGCCCGTTGTAGCTTGATTAGTAAACCAGCTAAAAGTGAGCTAGCTAGAACAGCTATCAGGGGGATCCACAATGGTGCATTCTTGGACTGGGGAGAGGTTACAGGTGGGGTGCTGCAGGGTTCAGTCCTTGGTCTAGGACTCTTCAACACTTTCATTAATGATTTGGATGAGGAAGTGCAGGGAATGATGATCAGATCTGCAGATGACACAAGACTGGATGGGTTGGCTAATACCCGGGAAGACAAAAAGAAGATTCAAGGTGATCGTGATAGGTAGGTGTGCTGGGCTGAAAGCATCAGAATGCCTTCAATAGGGACAAATGCCAAGTTCTGCACCCAGAAAAAGAAACCAATTGCATCGTTACAAGAGGGAGAGTGCTTGGCTCAACAATACTTCGAGTGAGAAGGATCTTGGAATTGTTGGAGATCACAAGTTGAATATGAGTCAACAATATGGTGTGGCTGCAAAAAGAGCATACGCTCTTTTGGGCTCCATTGATAGAAGCGTCACTTCCTAATCACATAAAGTACTAGTTCCACCTGACTCTGCGCTGGTTAGGCCTCATCTGGAGTGCTGCATCCAGTTCTGGGCACCACAGTTTTGCATCTTTAAGAAAGTTGCAGAGAGGCAGGAAAGGGTTCACAGAAGGGCAACAAGCATGATCTGAGGACTGGAAACAAAGCCAGTGAGGAAAGATTGAGAGAACTGGGCACGTTCAGCTTTGAGAAGAGAGATTGAGGGGGGATATGATTGCAGCCTACATGTACTTGAAAGGCTGTCACAAAGAGGAAGGGCAGGATCTCTTCTTGATCATCCTAGTGCAGAACACAGAATAATGGCCTTTAGTTACGGGAAATCGGATTCTGACTGGATACCAGGAAAAATTTCTTCACTATTAGAGGCGTATGACAATGGAACCAATGACCTAAGGAGGTTGTGGGCTCTCCCACACTAGAGACATTCAAGATGCAACTGGGCAGACATCTGAGTGGCTTCACTGGGTATCCTGCACTGGACCTGATGGCCTCCCAAGTGCCTTCCAACTCAACTAATCTGTGATTCTGTGATTAAGTGGAATAAGTTATGGAGGCTGCAGGATTCTGTGCTTCCTGGCATACAGGGGAGAATACGGAGCTTTGGTAACTTGTCAAAAGAATTCATAGTTGAGGTGCTTCTTTAGCCTGTTTCTCAAAGAGCCCAGAACACTCAGTTCTCTGCACATGGCTGTGGCTGTACTATGAATGTTCCCATAGCCCATCCTTCTGATAAACTAAGTGGAAAGCGGTCCAACCCTTGTTGTGCGGTTTCGATGGCCATGCGACTCACACGTGAGCCTCTGGGCTTGTTCACAGACAGCTGGATGAACACCGGGAACCACCTCCCATAAATAGCTCAGATTCGAGCTACACTCGCACCGGCACAGCGGGTCCACCTGCACCCCGTGCACTGGGGCAAGAGGTGGGGAGGCTGCACCCGGGCAGGGGCTGCCTCAGACCAGGCTGGCCTAAAGACAATGGGAAGGCTTGGCTCCTGAGGAGGAGATCAACAATGCTGAAATGCGCTGAAGTGGGGAGCATGTGCATACTGGAGAGAAATGCCTTCCAGATTAAGAAGCTTCCTCCAAACGGGAGGGTGAGTTCATCGCTGCGGTGTTTCTAAAAATGCTGCCGTCAGAGGCGTGTGGTGGCTGCCGCCTGCCAAGTGGCCCAGGCGCACATGCCAGCTGAGGGAGGGCTGGGCACGGCTGGCTGGAATCCATCTGGGCTGAGAATAGCCGAGGCTGCCGCTGCAGGCCTGCCTGTGAAGTATGCAGGGCCCTTCTTGAGAGCAGAGGGAGGAAGCCAGGTGGGACACCCCGTTTCTGCCTCTGCTATTTTGATAACGCTCATCGCCACATCCAAAGGCCAAGTGCCTCTGGAGAGGCACATCGCCTGGAGAGGTGCCAGGGCCCAAGCAGGTT